GGAGGAGGAGGAGGAGGATGGGGGTAACACCGCCACGTGTGCTGCTGTTGGCGTTTGTTATTAAAATTTGTTGTTAGAATAAAGTTGTTTTTATGTAACATGAAAAAGTGACTATGACGACGACGATGATGATGATAATGATGATGATGATGATGATGATGATGATGATGATGATGATGATGATGATATTGATGTAGTTGATAATGGTGATGCCTTATTTCTATTTCTTTCAATAGTGAGCCTTCCTGTATTAAGTTACCATGGCAAAGTTTGAATAAACGTTATTACGAGGGTGGATCCAAAAGCAATGCGAGTTGCCATCTAGCGGCTAGGACATTGCCTTCATCAGTCATCATGCTACATGTAACAATTCTTCTCTCGAGCTAACCAATACGCTTCCATGTAAACGTAATGGCACACTTGATTGTATTTTATGACGTCAGTGAGAAAGGATGGTTTGCGCCCGTGGTGAAATAAGATGGAGTTCACAATAGATGAATTTCCGTAGCTGATTGATGAAAATTTGCGAAGTGTTTGTGGGGAACCCGCTCGTTCTTGTAACAGGTTTGTCGTTCGTAAGAGGACATAGTGAAAGAAGAGACAATGTTTTTTGATGACCCACGTTCTGGCAGCCCAAATTCCTCTGTGAACAAAGAAAGCTATCGATGTTCTTTGACACATTACTGCGCGTGATCTCCATAGCTCAATACAAGAACTTAGCGGTAGGTGCAAAATACTATTCATGGAGAACTGCATTTGAAAAAATACGAATTTGCCTGTTGGATATCTCATTTACTCACAGAGGAACGAAAAGGAGAGAGGGTTAGATATGCATCAGAATTGCTCAACATAATTGAACGCCAAAGGTCCAATGCCAAGGGTGACAAAATATATATTTCTTTTTTCTGTTTTAAATGTCACCAAAATGGCTTAACTGCATGAGGAAGAAACAAAATAGGACACATGCATGTCATCTTGCGTGGGTTTTTTTTTCAATTATAATAGTATTCGTTTTTGTTAATATTATGCTTATTAAACTACTAGTTTTACATTGAATTTTTCTTACAATTATGTGCAACGGTTATTGCCCCATTTGAAAAATGCCGTGGTTGAGCAGAGACCAAAGATCGGAACATCTCGTGCAATGCTCTTTCACGACAAGGCACCTCCCCACGAAGCAAGGGCCACAACCGTATGTGCATACAGGAGAAGGGATCCACCCTTTGCCTCATCCAGCCTACACAGTCCTGGCTTGGCTCTCTATGACTTTTGGTGGTTTCCCATTCTGAACTGAAAGATAAGCTTTGCAAACGAAAGTTTCAACCTGTTCAGCACCAAGCAAGAGTTGTTAGTTCAGATTTGCGAAGCATACCTGAAACTGACGATAGCTTTGCCTTCCATAAATGGCTGTGGAGGCTGAGATCCTGTACACACAGTCGTGGAAAATGTTGTTTCAATGGACTGTGAAATTATCAGGCCCATATATTATTATTATTATTAATATTTTTTTAGCCGGTAAGTAATATCATTATTACGTATAATATTGTCACTATAATTAACAGTTAAAAATATATTTCACAGCTTCCATTGCTTTTTGATCCTCTCTCGTATTATGTTATGAGTTAATTATTAATTGCTATTACACGTGAACATACACGTGAATTCCGGGCGTACAGATCGAGCTTATTGTATAAGCTATAGTGTACAAATTACATGCATTACATGTATTTTGATCGTGACTTTTACTTTTGGCATTCATGTAACGATGAACTTTCCTCTACAATTCATTCTAGATTTCTTTAAGACAGCTCAAGGTGATCATCCTATTCCATAATAGACTTGAATCAGGATAATACCCTTGACCGCGCACTGCCATGGCAGCCGCTCTTCCTTATTCTCTACGAAAGACTTTGGTGAGCTGGTGCGACCATAGGCGCACAAAGGAAGGGGAAAACACCAGCCTCCTTGAGTCTGTTGAATGCGCGCGTAATCTTTCCCTCATTGTCCTTTCTTTGGTTCCAAATAGGGTAAAATGGTGAGCTGCATTATGAACTTAAACACCACGGTGAGCTGGTGCTACCATGGGCACGCAAATGAAGGGGAGAACACCAGCCTCGCTGTAGTCGATTATGTTGAATGCACGCGCAATCTTTCCCTCATTGTCTTTCCTTTGGTTACAAATAATAGGGTAGAATGGTGCGCTTCATTATGAACTGGTATTACATCTGAGTGCAGTCTTAGATATTATGATTACAAAAGTCTATATGTCCCATTCTCGCACCCAAAAGATTAAATCTGAGACTGAGAATTTGACTGAAGGAGGAAGTTGTTTAGATGAGATTGATGAAGAAAATGAGAAAATGCAAGTGTGGCAAAACAGACTTCGGGTGTTGAAGAAGCGCATTGAGTATCGGAAAAGAAGGGGGAGGGGGGGGGGGGGGGGGGGATGAAAAAGTGAGAAGAGAAAGGGGGTGGGGTGGTGGAGGGAAAGAGACAGACGGGGCACTGAGAGAGAGAAGAGACAGAGGGAGGGTGGGTGGTTGGCGGGTGCTCTGGTGTGTTTTACTTCTTCTTTCCTATTACACATCTATCGTCCTGATCTTCCCTTCATTTTTATGTTTGTTACTCTCTTTTAATACCTCTAATCTCATATGACCTTATGCAGTTGCGAGCGCCGTAAAACCTCTACTAAAACTAAACAGAGGGAAGGGAAGATATGTATGTTTGTATATATA